GAGGCTCAGTGTTAGGAAAAACTACTGGGTAAGTGCCTCTTGTTTGGACCAGCGAATCTAGTGCAAATCTTTGTAAGTGCTTGTGCGTTTGTCAGCTTGAAACGTTCACATTTTTCATTTTCAGTGTGAATTTTTTATCAAGCCATATGGAGTCACGGGAGTCAAGGCGTGGGAGAAGCACGGAGTGTAGCTTAAGTGAGGAGCAGCTTCTTAAGAGGGCAGACAGCCTGTCTCCAAACATCACATTAGAGAGCCTGTTTGACGACTGAATGCATGTGGGTCTCGGTGCATGTGTGACTTCCTCCATGTGGACTTGCCAACTGACTGAACTCAAGTAAGGGTGTCTGCATCTTCCCACAAACTTCGCCTATGCAACTGGAGTTACCTAGAAGTGCAGACAGGGTGCCTGTGACAGGAAATGTGTGTCTTTGTGGTCCCTCATCAATGGTGCAATATGGAGACTGCTGGGTTTGAATCACTGAGCCCACTGCGTGTGGTAAAGGGGTCGGCATCATCACCATTCTGCAAGTCCAAGCCAAGCTGTTTTGACAAGAATGAGCAGAGGCCCAAATTTGACAACTCAGATCTCCAACCTCGATCTGCTTCAAGTCTCAGCTGTACAGTGGTTTGACATCTGCCGCGAGCGGTTCTAGGTTCGAATATTGTGAGGCTTTGATGTTCTCCACCGTGCCTCTGTGGGTTTTCTCCATATTCTCCGGCTCACTCCCACATTCAAAGAATCAGGAATGTGACTAACGGCTCAGTTTTGAGGAACGCTCCATCTTGTTGTGGTTGCACAGCTGCACACTCAAAAGTGTAAAGTGACTTTTTTCCGAATTACGCCTCACACAATCTGTTTTGTTATTGCATTTCTCACTGTCCATGAGAAAAATCAAGATAACAGCATTAATGTGTTCACGTTGTATGCAAGATACACCAAAATCACATTCTGATGTTGGAGCATTAGCCTTGGAGTGACCAAAGGGACAGTCTTCAGTGATGAACTGATGACATTTGTTCCCGTCTGTGCGCTAAACTGTAAATGGATGCTGTTAATCCCCGGTGACAATCACCCATCCATCCATCACCCGAATCGTTTCTCATCACAAGGGTCACGGGCGTGCTGGAGCCTATCCCAGCAGTAGAAGGGGTACACCCTAAAAGGAGCATCGAGACACGCCATGCAGCTTCGCACAGCCAACTGCTATTCCACTATAATACTGACCTCAGCGTTATTGTTGCTGTTTATTTCACCCATCTAGGAAGTGTGGGCTACATCCAAAAAAAAAAAAAGAAACAAAGCAACAACATCAGCGTTAAAGATAATATATCTATCCTCTGCCCAGTATGCCTGGAAACTGGAGAACATCGAAGGTCATCTTTTGTACCATAGACACTCATCAAGTCACGTTTATAGCCTTTTGCACATTTGCTGATGTAAACTCCCAGAAAACGCTATGATAATAACAATAGCAATCTGCCCCCGCTCTCGTCACCCACTCTGTGGAGGTGAAACCCGAACTTGTGTGGAGAAACAAGTGCGTTGAGCGGTTGTGACAATTAAACACAACAAAGACAAGCAATTCAGATGAAGGGCAGCCCGTGCAGAGCCTGATCACCACACGGAAGCCAAAGGCAGAGCTTAACATTTGCCAGCCATCACTTTCAATCATCTAAGGTCAAACAAAACATAGAGTAAAGCCTGCTTTAATAACTTTCTGGCTTCCTCCTCAGGTGATGGTGTCTATGCTTATTAGTCATTTTGGCCAGATATTGTTTTGGGCCCGCTTTGGTTTTTGGGTTTGTTGCACAAGAAGAGCAATCTTCAAATGCCATTTTCTGGCGAAATGGTGGTGTTTGCAATAAACGCACAAGGAGATCAAACCTGCATGTATACCATAATGCACGAATTGACGGTAAAAGTAAGCAAGCGTGACAGCACTGCAGTCCGTGCACAAGTTATTTGTTTGCAGGTGCCATTTGGACCTCTTGTTTCCTAAATTGAGGTCTTACAAAGAGCCATCACTTTGCAGGGGGCGGGGGGGGGGTGTCATTCATCCCACTTAACATGATGCAGATGGACAAGATGTAAGATTGGTTTTATTTTCCATCCAGACTCGAGGCCTGACCACCAATTTTATGCAGACTCAAGTGGCTCACATTGTAACGCTACCAATTTCGGCCACTGGTTTTGCAGAAGTTCAAAATTTGACTTGCAGATGCACGATGTCACAGCCTAGCAAATTTTAGCCGATCAAAATGCACAGAAGCGTTCAAAGAGGTGAAAAATCCCTTTCCGGGTTATAAGGAACCGAGCCACCGATGCCCGCCAAGCAACAGAAATACAGTGTAGAGAGTACAAATATTGTGTTTTACAACATTACTTGACTATAATCATAATTTCATGTGTACCTGTGGATGAAATAGTGAATCTTGTGGTTAAAAATACACATGACAGTGAGCCACACCTTCCACATTTTCCTTGACTGACACTCCATCTATTTATGGATTAAAAAGAGTGATACCATACAACATATTGTCTGAGGAGCCTCAGAATGCAAGGAGTCCATATGCTAATTCCCCCCCCCCCACCGTGTACGCGGGGGGAGTGGCCAACTGTCCTTTTTTTTTTTGTTTTGCTAACCGGATTCGCTAGCATTGTGCAGTGCGTGGGCACCTTTCATTTTTTAAAGCTTTTAAATGACACTCTGACAACCATAAATCAGTGCCCCAATGGCACACAGAATTCCTATCATTCAGACATATGGGAAGGAGACACAATAGAAGGAGGTCATTTTCAACAGCACACAGGTGATCACAATGGACCTGAGGGGCAAAGATATCCAGCCCTCGCATGAGAAATAAAGTAGAGAGGAGTAATAGGCCTCCGGGCTCAATTAGACTTGTGACTCAGCCACTTGGCTCACACGGGAGTGATATCATGCAAGCGAGGATTTCGAAAGTGTAAGGCTCATTGCTCAGTGTCAGTCGCAAGCTACAGGCATTTTGGAGACTCATCCTTCCCTGATGGGACCGCGACACAGAGAGAGGCCCTTCCATAATTGAACACCTGTTTTGTTGGGGTTACTCATGTCCCGTTATTGGCCAGTTTTAAGGTGGCGCTTCCTGGAAAGATGCCTCAAAAGCCTCATACGTCATTCTGAATGCCGACAAGTCTTATGTGAGCTTTACAGGTTCTATTTTTAAAGATAGATAAAAGCAATTGCAGAGTGACAGTGTAACTGCGCATGGCGCCTACTGTTCAGAAAAGAAGAAGCACGAAAAGTGTTTTATTCTTTGGCTTGCAGGAGCCCGACTGTTTTCGAAGTTGTAGACCAATTGCAAGACATTTATTGTTTCAGTACTTTTTACAATTAGAAAGAAGCAAAACAATTCAAGTCAGATCCTGTGACTGCCAAATACTTTTATACAGGGCTTTTCTGTTACAACCCTATGTCCTGAAATAAATATTTATTGATCATTTTTGTGTGTTGCAAACGCTTCGAAGCAACACTGGCATTGAAAATGTGAGATGAATAAAGGGTGCTTGGTCCACTTCAGTACCGAAGCTGATCTTCAGTGGATTTTGTTTTACAAATTTGCAACCTTTAGCAACATTGAAGGCAAATTCAGACGAGCGGAGCCCGGGACTAAAAGATTTGGATATTCTTGGGCAGAAACCTCCCTCTGTCCACATATGGTCAAGTGAATATTTTTTCACAAATCAATTCTAGTGACCTGTTAATTTTACACATTATTAACTAACCAAAAGTGTTGACAATAGCTTCGGAGCAAAGGCTCTTGAATGCTCAGCTGGCTGAGATGTACGTCTCAGCCAGCTGAGTCCATTGAGTCCATTTGAGTCCATCTATTTTGTAAAAAAGAAAAAGTTCCAGCATTGATATACTTCAGTGTAGAAGGAACTGCTCAGCCCCGAAGGTACACTAAGTGTGAGAAGTCGTCAGCTCATAAGTGCATTTATTATCACATCCTTTAAACCTTTGACAGAATTTGGGAGGATGATGTAACCCAAGTCAACTGCTTCTGAAAAGTCTTCTGTGCTTTTTGTCTTGTCGGGATATCGGCAAAATGGCTGCTGCCGCTGCTGCTGGCATGTCCTAATATTTTCATCAGTGACAATACAACATACATCTTTATTTAACTAGTACTTTCACAACCGCTGTAGATGTAACAAAGCATGTTCCAGAACATTTAGAGTAAACTCACAAAAATAATACAACAGAACACATAACGTAAAAGATGGGCAATAATACAATCGTAACAATTCTTCCTGCATAGGCCTTGTTGTCTGAACGAGTGCTAGATGAAAGACGAGAGAATCAGTCTCCTTTCACCAGCATCATAAATGAGCATTTTGTAGTGTATTAAAGGATTGAACATGCATTTGGTGTGGTGTAGTGTTGTGTGGTGTAGGTCATAGCAATTTTTGGTCTAATACCAATTTGAATGATGCAGTGTTTGGCAACTCGAGCAAGATTGGAGTTTTATAATAATAATAATAATAATACATTTTATTTATAAGCGCCTTTCAAGACACCCAGGGACACTTACCAATAACAAAAAACACAAAACAATACGGGTTGAGCAGCGGCAGCCAAAACGCGCCAGCGTTCACTCAACCCGGAATTCAGAAAGAAACCACAAGGGAGGGAGAGGGGGAGTTTTGTTTGATTTGTGAGCGCTAAGCCAATCAACGACGGCCTGTCGAAAAGTCATCTGACTTGAAATGTCATGAAGGGCTTTTAAATTGGAATCAACCATCAATGCTGGCCCAGGTATTTTCTGCTGAAAGTATTCCGTCCTCCACCACACCTGATTTAAATGATCTGGATCGTTGTCAGGCACTTGAAGAGCTTGTTGGTGAGCTGATCATTTTTTTTATTTTTTTGGTGGAGAGCAACATCATTCTAAGTCAGGCAGGACACCGGCCCTCATGGACCGCAGTTTGACACCTGTGCTTTAAACACAAGCCATCCTACCTGTGTGACTCCTGTGTGCATGAGTGAGGGAGGCCAGACAAAGTGACAGCAGTAGACTCCACACACCGACTCCGCACATACAAGGGCCCCGCTCCCGCATTCTGCCAGAAAAGAGGAGAGGGTGGGGGGAAATACATGCATACTTAATCAGAGAACACACACCAATGTGGTGAGATCAAATTGTGATAAATGCAGGTGAATTCCCTGCCACTCGTATGCCTTTGTAAAGCACGCATGCATAAAACATGAAGCGCTGTAAGAAAACGGCGAAACATACCAGGCCAACTCATCTCAGCGAAAAGAAAGAAAAACATGGAAAAATATTGTTCTCTGCTTCAACGTTCACAAGGTCAATACGAGTGAATGAGAATGTAGAGATGAGGAGATGGAAACAAGAAGATAGAGGGTGAAGGCTAAGGGATGTTGTGGAAATCATTCTTTCATTTCCCGTGTTTGCAGAAAAGTGGATCACCCGGTCAACATCAAAAGCGGAGATGAGCCAGGTTCTGTTGTGCTCCTTTCCTCACCCCTTGTGTGTGTGTGTGTGTGTGTGTGTGTGTGTGTGTGTGTGTGTGTGTGTGTGTGTGTGTGTGTGTGTGTGTGGATGGCTGCAAAAGCTGGCTGGCATCTGCTAAATGAAGTGCACGGTCAACTCAAAGCAAGCCCATTTCATTGCCTTCCCAGAGAAAACACAAGCAGTAAAAAAAAAGCACATGATTCCAAATGAAATAAACCAATCGTATTTTATGCAGAGGAAAAGTTTGATTAATAATGAATCGCCTTGCCTCTTTATCTTGGAGGAGAGGACGTGTCTCTCCGGTTGTATGCACTGTACTCAAAAAAGCATGCAGAAGCTGCCAAATGGCAGCAGGTGTTTACGTAAAGGTGTTGAGCAGTGATGCCGTGGGGCCAAAGCATTTTGTTCACTTCCGACAATGGGAAAAAAAATCGTGCAAACACCAAAGAAACAAACTCCTTTCGTCAACTCTGGAAATTTCTTCTTTGGTTCTTGTTGATATTGCAAACTCATTATTCAAAATGACTGGAGGTTGACAAGGGAAAGGCACGAGGGCAATTCCATCAAATTGGTTCCAAGAAAATACATACATGCATAGCAAAATTAGCTCTATAATAATATTGTTGTTTGCATATTGATCTGATTGCATATGTATTGAATAAAATTTGAATGAAAAAAAATTGAACTGCACTGGAAACTAGAACACTGGAAAAATAGTGCCTGCCATTTGTTGCCTGTCCCTGCTTGTTAAATATAGACTTAACCATGAAATATTGTTTATATCCTTTGGAATTGCTATTTTTTTCATATTTGGGTGACTGCAGTACTTCCTGCTAGTCCCATCTGAACTTTAGGATCATTTTCTAAAAAAAAAACTGTCCAAATTAGCATTTTAGTCATCTCCATCAGTCTGCTACTTGAACACAGGGATGGACAATTGGTGGCCTGTGGCCACTTGATTAATTAAGAAAAAATATAAAAATTGAGGGGTCGGGGGCACACAAATAAACATTCAGTATATGTTTCCCAACAAAATACAGCTGGGAACCTTCACTACACAGAGAACCGCCAGGCTTCCCGTTCTCTGGACGGGTTGTAACTGGGAAAGTAAATTCCTTGTGTGCTTTACAAAACTGGCCAATAAATCTGATTCTGAATCTTGCACAAAAGACACAAAAAAACGCCATGCCACGCTGGGGAGATCCTAGTCGCCCCTGTAATTGGACTTGAGGCCAGCCCACGCCAATATCTTGTCAGCATTTTATCAGTCTACTGAAAACATTCCTGCAAGCGACATCCATGTTTGTTTTCATTCCAAACATTATACTGGTCTCAAGCAATGTGGAGGCTTTCAGGGGTTACACGTGCATGTGAGTGCTTTTCTGAGGGCTTGTGAATGTGCATTTAAGCCTTGGCTTGACTCTGAAGCAGCGTGTGCCAGTCATCTGGCAATGCAAAGCATTTCTCTAGCTGGGGGAAGCTGCAAAGCCAGACAGGCTGAGTCAAGGCTTTTTCAGGCTCCAGAGGTCATCACATAAACCGGTACGCATGTTCGGATTGCCGCGTTTGTTTCCTTTTCCCTTCATTCGTCACCACCCACACTCGTCTCATCCTCACCCGAGCTCTTCCGGTAGTCTTTCGCGACTGGCCCCTCGCAGGTTGAAATACACACACACACAGTGCAGATTATGTCATGACAAAAAAAAAAAAAAAAGCACAATTTCATTAGGATTGCTTGTTTGGTGTGTTTGCCGCAGAGCAGAGAGAGGCTGTGTCATGTGTCATGGCCACAGAAAAAAAAAAGAGAGGCAGATGAAGGACCATTGACTCCATTAGTGTCAAGTGTGGTCACGGATCTGAATCACACACAAACTGGCATACAGTCCCTTTGACCCAGACCCAAACCAAACCTTCAACTGACTGCACGCAAAGGACGTTATCTTTTGATTATTGTTTACAGCGGCATGTGTCGACGATGTTTTGTGGCGCTTCCTCAGGTGTTTCTGATAGATGTCACATAGGGAAGTCGACAGCACTTGATGATATCTGCCAGGCAAAATGGTGGCAATAAAGCAGCAGTGGCTCTTCTAAGCCTGCATGATGTTGCTTTCATTAATCCAACTCACAGGAGCAAAAGAGAAAGGACGAGCGAGAGAGAGAGAGAGTTGGAGAATTTGCGTTGGTCTCTGATGAGTTGTGCAGTCTGTTCCATTCCTTTAATTAGTCCCGCTGGAATGCATCCCCACCACGCGCGTCGTCAGCCTCCTCTTTATATCTCCACGCTGTTTTTCGGCATGCGAGTTTGTATGCATTCTTATTAAAAGTGGACGGACATCTTTGGACTTCCCAAAGGTCTGAGAGAAAACGTAGTGGAATTATATTTACTTTCAAGGTGTATCCGTTCTCTCAAAATATCCCACAACTTTGATCACAGCAGTCATTTAAACAGGGGTGTCAAACTCATTTTTGTTGTGGGTAATTTTGGAGTTACGTCTTCCCTCAGAGGACCATTACGACAGTGAAACCGAATGAATGTTTCATCATCTCATCGTATTATTACTTGTACAAAACAAATTGATGGATTACTTGTTTTGAAATCAGTCAACTATTTGTGTGTTGTTTGTTCAATTATTGTTCAAGTGAGTGTAAACAGGACAACAAAATTATTGCATAATCTCACCATTATTTATTACACATGACAATTTGATATTTCGTGACAGATTTCAGCAAGCATTATCAAAGTTGACACATGATTTTGCTTTCGCGGGCCACATAAAATGACGTGGCGGGCCGGATCTGGCCCCCAGGCCTTGAGTTTGACACCTGCGCATTAAAATCAACAGAAACACATTTGGTGGGAAAACAAATTGAGTTTAAGGTTTAAAAGGACACAGGTAGCAATTTGACCGGAAAATAACCGGTTCAAACCCCTATTAAGAGAAATCATACATTTATTTCTAAATCGGCCCACATCATACAGATTGGAAAATAACTCCTGAAAAAACATGCATGCCTATGATCGAGAACTGTCAAGTATTCATTTGTGGGGATTAGGGCTGCATCATGTGACTCTTGTAATAATCTAATCTTCTGTAGATTATTTGCTGAAAAATGTTTCGAGTTCCTTCTCTTTTTTCAAAAACAGGACATGATAGACATGAGGCCTCCCTGGGGAGGTCTTCCGGGCATGTCACACCGGCAGGAGGCCCCGGGAACAACTCAGGATAGAGACCCGCCTTGAGAGGAGATGTGGCTGGGGAAGTTTGGGCTTCCCTGCTGAAGCTGCTGCCTCCGCAACCCGACCCCGGATTAGCCGTTTGAGAGTGGATGGATGGGTTTTATTTCAAATTGACAGTGCACAAACATGAATTATGATTTACTGGTTTGGTGCCTAACACTAAACAGGCAATACATCGAAAGCAATTGTTTTATTTTGATTCAACACATACATAACATAATACATTTTGACTCCATTTTGTCATCAGAGATGCAAGCAAATTTATCGAGATTTTTTTTTTTTTTTTTTGGCGCTGATTCTGAATCAGCCTGAATCATAATATAGTATGTAATTTAAAAATATACTTGGTAATATTTATCAATTAAGATTTAGGATGAACAACAGGGGGATTTTTTTTTCTGAAGCATGATAGCTTTTAACTACAATACATGTTAAAATCCATATTGCGCAAGCTTCTATAGGTCAAACTTAAAAAACAAGAATGAAAAAGTAATGACATTTTTCGAGTCCATGTCAAAAATACATTTCGAGACATATGAAGCCATCTGATTAAAATTTGCTATAGACCAGTCTAATCAGTCTGCTTTCATGTAGGCCTACAGAAATCGGAAATTCACTTTTTGGGGAAGCTACACCTTCACCCCGGAAATGCATCTTGCCTGGGAGCCACAATTTACAGAAGAGATCTTTGTCTGGACGCCAATTCCGAAGTGAGGAGGAGAAGCCGCGCTGCCAATTGTGAGTGAGTGAGGTGGTCACTTGCACTTCCTGTTGCTGCATGAAAATCAAATCAAATCCAACTATGTGTTAAGAACCTTTCAGACAGCAAAATGTACTGCAAAGTGCTTCACAAAAATATAACAACACACAGCACAGCAAAGGACAAATGTGGAATAAAAAAAAAAGAAAACATTTTGTGTGGGGCCTTGTGGGTCGAGTGTTTTATCTTGCACAGTGATTTATCAGTGAACCTAGAGTAAAAGCTGGAATCTAAATTGAAAATGCAATTGTCAGAGCCACTCTGTTCCAAGCTAATTGCAAGCTCAAGAGATTTCAGCTGGACAAGGGTCACCAAGTGCAGCCAGGAGCATGCGTGTGTGTCTGTTTGCATTACGCTTTATGAAAAAAAAAAGTCCACAATATTTGGAATACACTTCATGCGGCTTGTAGAAGAGGCCAGTGGCTCCAAATTGAGCCCCCAATTAAAAAAAAAAAAAAAAAAAAATGGGCTGTGCTCGCGCACCATCACACTCTCATTAAAAGACCGTTTTCTCTGACTCCAGCAGAATACACATCACAGACTTGACATTCCCATCTTTCAAATCAGCTTTTGCCTCTTCCTGCCATGTATGCATGTCCGCAACATGTCCCCCAACACATCCCGCAAGCTTGATTCAACCCAAGGGTGTCACACTTCATCCATCTCTGTCTCTCTCTCACTCACGATGCTAACCTGGAGAACTTGTTTCGCCTCAAGGTACAATCCCGATGTCACTACAAATCCGTCGTCTGCGAGGCTCCACGGCTGCCCCCAAAACATCCTGAGGTCAAACACACGTGCCCGACACCATCAAAAGCCCTCACATGCGGGCTGCTGCTACACACGTGACAGCAATACAGCGTGGATGTTTTTATTGCGCTTTCAACACGGTCCTGAGACAAGAATGGAAAAAAAAACCCAACACCTGCCAAATGCCAAGTCAAAGAGTTCAGAAATATGAACAAGTGAGAAGCAAAAAGATTGAGAGAATATGAAAAGAGAACATAATCCGGTGGGAGGACAGGGTTGCTTTCATTCAATTTCTCTCCAGGTTTCTTGACTTTTGTAGCTGCTTCGCCTTGGATTATTAAAACAAGTACATGCCTAGTGTAAGCGACACAAACACACACACACACACACACACACACACAAACACACACACACACAAACGCAACCTTCTCCATTGCTGCCCCCACACCGTGGAAGTCAGTGCTCCAACCGCTCTGTGCCTGCTCTGACCTCTCCACCTTCAAAAACAAACTCAAAGGTCTGTTCAAAATCACTTTTAATGTTTGATGATCATTTGCACATGTAATTATTTTTGTCACGTTGCTCTTATGAGGTTTTATTTATTTATGTTTTTATTGGTGTCTGCTTTTGCTGTTTTATTGTACCTTTGTAAAGCAACTTATATCTCGAGAAGCACTATATAAATAAAATGTATTATAATTATTATTTTCATGAATGCTGAGGATTAATGAACTGCCACGGCTCATCTGTGCATTTCTTCTTTTATTCCCTCATTTTGTCTCGGGCAGGACTAAGAAAGGACCAACAAAGCAGTCATAGAAGGCCATTGCCCTAATAGCCGCGGCACTTTTCTGATCTGGTACCATAAGTTTCCCTGACTCCCGCGGTTAAGACCTATTTCCCTGCCCTAAATGCATAAATTGGTAAATCAAGCATCTGCTTGGGTGGTCTCTGTAGGCCCTTGCATGTGCTTGGCGAAGGCTTACATGCACGCCATCATTCCAAAATAGTTTGACTCTGCATTGCTTGCTGACACTTTGAAGGGAAATGAAAGCTTTCGTTGAAAACTATCAGTGTCCGGAGAAAACCCCGAACCTCGGTCAGGCAGATGTCCTAACCACCGGATGACCGTGCTGCCCATTATTATCATTCTAGCTGTTGTGTTCTCGGTTTTACAACAGACATATTCCATGGTGTTTCTATTCATACCCCTCCATCTTCTCGAGTGACACGAGCTTCCTTTGTATTCATGCTGCCTCATAGTCAGTGTGGAAATGGGTCTCCTACTGAGTCAAAGTTGCCACATTGTGTATGCCCTTTATATAACCCATCTCCTGGGGTCTTTTTTTAAAATAGCACTCCATCAACACAAGGTCTTTGACCAGATAGTTGACTCGCACCAAAGGTGTGCACGGGATGTCACACAAGGCTGAATTTAGATGTGGAAAGAGACGCCAGGTTAACATTTTGCAGGAATCATGCAAAAATAAACATCAAACAGGCTCGAGCTGGGAGATGTGACGATATATATTGCGAAGACGATAGCAAACTGTCTATCGTGTCACTTTTGTACTATAGCGCTTATCATCGTTTTTCACTTGCACAGTCAAATACAATTACAAAGAAGACAGCAGAAGCTTGAAATGACAGACAAATGCTTTCATTTGTCATTCTAGACAAATGCTTTCATTTGTCATTCACGTGCAACAGAATTGCCACAGAATGCAGATTGAACAACCACAGAGGAACGAGATTCATACATTACATGGCTATCAGACATACATACATTGAGTACAAGGGTACAGGAGTAAATCTAACAGTTCGTGAAAATTCAGAAATAGCATATGTGCACTCAAACAATGAATTGTGCCATGGGAAAGTCCATGAATGAACAACAACAACAAACCTCTAATTATAAATAACTACTTACAAAAAAAGACTGTTTCGCATAGCAGTTTAGGGGCTTAAATTTGCAGTTTGTGCTTCATCAAAGCATACAAAATAGCCTAACCGAATTACCGATCCTTACGTTTTTCCTACAACGGAACGGCGTGTGGTTAGTCTACTCTGCAATTCGAGGTGAGATCGGTGCTACTTGGCGACTTAGGGCGCAGCAGCTCGCAAGCAATGAACTTCAGCTGGCAACAACCATTCGTAAACATGTGATTTCGCTCCTCCGTCAGTTATCGCAGTCTCCATTATGGTCAAGAAGCAACACTTCTTGCAAGTATGATTCCCACAGGAGCACATAACTCCTACTCTGGCATCCCTTCCCTGGCTCGCTCTACACATTAGAGTTCTTTTGAATATTGAATTTTTTGTTTTCAAATATTGAAATGGCCTCACCCTACCTTACCTCTCTGAGCTCCTCCACTCCTATGCACCTGTCCGGTGCCTCAGTCCTGCGGACCAGACATTTTGAGAGATACCGAGAACTACAAGCAAGTGGAGGCTCAAATGGGACTGAGCCTTTTCCGTTGCCGGTCCCTCTCTTTGGAATGACTTCCCGCTGAACGTTAAGCAGCCCCCACGCTGCCCAGTAATTAACAGAGGCTTCTTGCTAAGTTAGTGTTATCTTATTGATCGTGAAAGACCAAATGAAGTGCTTGGGTGACATTTCACAGAGGTCTCGCTGGAACCGTGTCACATTTCTCTTTGAACAGCTAAATAGACGGGAATTTGATAAGTGTCAGGAGAGAAAATAACACA